GATGGTTTACCCGCGGAACTTATTAAATGTGGAGGTGCTACTCTGAGTAATCATATATATAAAATCGTACTGAGAGCCTGGAATGAGGAAAAAATGCCGGAAGAGTGGTGTATTAGTATCGTTTGTCCACTGCACAAAAAAGGTGATCAATTGGAATGTAGAAACTATAGGGGAATAACCCTCCTTAATACAACATACAAAATTTTTTCGAGTATTTTATATAGTCGCCTAAGTACATATTCAGAGTAGCTTTTTGGCGAATATCAAAGTGGTTTAGGCCTGGTCGATCAACAACAGACCAGATCTTTGTGCTAAGGCAAATACGAAAAAAAATTCAATATCGACACATACCATCTTTTCGTAGATTTTAAAACGGCCTATGATAGTGTCCTAAGAAATAAATTGTATGAAGCCATGGATGAATTTCACATCCACAAATTGATAAGATTGGTTAAGGCTAGAATGCTTAAAATTATATGCAAAGTCGAAATACAGAGCGAACAATCACAGGCATTTGAAACGCGTGTTGGACTGCGACAGGGAGATGCGATGGCGTGTCTCTTTTTCAACATAGCTCTGGAAAAGGCGGTCACGGATGCCCAAATAGACAACAGAGGAAACATTTTAAAAAAATCATCCCAAATTTTGTCATATGCAGATGATATTGACCTAGTTGCCCACACAACACGTAACCTAGAAGAAATGTTATCACCTTGTCAAATGCCTCAAAAACTATGGACCTGCAAGTAAATGAGGAGAGAACTAAGATAATGGTATCAAAATCCAATAATAGAGTCAGCCAACTCTACCTTTAAAGTGGTGGACAAATTCACATACTTGGCTCCCTGATCACCAAGGAGAACGTCATGACGGAAGAAATCAGTTGAAGAATAATTCTAGCAAATAAATGCTATTTTGGATTCAGTAAACATATGAGAAGCAGAAACTTAAGCCAAAAAATAAAAATAACCATATACAAAACCCTTATACAACCTGTGTTGAAATATGGAGAGGAGACATGGACCATTTCCAAGGCAGATGAAAACCTCCTGCTTATATTTGAACGAAGGATCCTGAGAACATTCGGTGGCATCCTTGAAAATGGTGTTTGGAGAAGGAAGTACAACTACTAGATCACAGATATAAACATATATTTGGTACTAAAGACATAGTATCTCGTATAAAAATAGGAAGACTAAGATGGGCAGGATACCTGGCAAGATCACAGCAGAACAACTCTCCTAGAAGAACTCTTATGTCACAACCTATGGAAAGTAGAAGTAGGGGTAGGCCAAAACTTAGATAGAGGGATGATGTGGATGAGGATGATAGAAAAATAGGCGCAGCAAATTGACAACAATTGGCAATGGATAGACCTGACTGGCGTAACAGACTAGTGAAGGTCGAGACTCTTTTATAGGTCTGTATCACCAATGATGATGAATTAAAATAAAAGATTTAAAATATTATCTCAAATAAAACTCATTTTGAATATGGTTGATATTTGAGATAATAGGAATTCAATGTCCTGTTATGGTAGGACAGGGAAGATCTGGAACAATTCTCTCCATAATATTTATAGAATTTGAAGCTGTTGGTAACCTATTTCATTCTATTTCTACTGGAGATTTTGTATCAAGCTCAACCTTTGATTTATCTTCAATAAATATTTTACTAAAAAAGTGAGAATTTATAAAGAATGTCATACTTTGCTTTTAGTAAACAACACTACTCATAAACGGAATCAAATTTGCAAGAGTAGAGAAGTAAACATTTTTCTTGTGGTAATTAAGTTATTTATAAATAAGATTAAACTTTTAAGAAAATTAATCTGACTCTCCAAAATTTCAAAACAAAACTAATAATGAAAGTATTCAAGCATTAAAATCTGTGCAGTCAAAGTTTGTGAGCAATTTGAAAAGACTAGTAATAATTTCTTTGTAGAACACGAAACAAAAAGAAAATATTTTAAAGAAATCCAGAAAGTAGAGAGCCAATATGTTGGATTTCGATTGCATAATAAAAGTTGCTTTTGAAAAAATATTTACCGGAAGAAGTGGGCTCAGGAGACACAATATCTTGTCTGAAAAATTTACAAACTAGCCCTACATCAAATAAGATTAAGAGAGAAATATTATATATATTTTTAATATTAATGAAAGATTGATAGCGATTAATTAGTCAATATGTTAGTTTTCCTCATAGTTGCAAGAATACTTGCAGAGAAATCACAACATGCAATGTCCAACCCTTTAATTGCTATCCAATTATCTTCAAAAATCATGTAAATCAAATGATTCGTGGTAACCCTCCCTTTTTTAGCAAATCACAACCGAACCAACCGACGAGTTATAAACAGCGGAAACAGGTTGCCTTCCAATTCCCAACAAATATCGTTATAACATTTTGTAAACGGGGTCAACAAAAATCATTTTTTCCATACGGTTGACGTTTGAACCCTTCTTTGTCACATCCTAGCCTGTTTAACCGGGGGTGGAAAGAGGAAAGGGTGAAAGTCAGTAAAATCGGCCAATAAACTAGCAGGTAGAGGTGCAATATGTTATGCCGGAATTAAAATAATTCAGTTTGAATTTGGATTTCGGGGATTCTACTTTTTTCGAGTTACAAGTGTTTTGAAGTGACCAGAGTTTAAAATATTGAAATCATCTTCATTTTTTCACTTGTTGGTGAGTTAGTTCATATATAAAAAATAATAAATAAAACTCCTGTTTTAAATTGACACTAAAAAGGAATTGCAATTAAAATTCTTTAAGTCTATTTACCTAATATTATCATGTAATTATTGAATAGAACATTTCACTCTATCATTTTTTTTCACAACTTTTTCACTACAATTGTTGTTTTCATAGTTTCTTAATAGCTCATAAAATATTTTATATCTTTTTTTACAGGGCTGTGTATAATTGTTTCTTTTTTATCTCATAGTTATTACTATCAATAATGGACGAACGTATATAGTGCCATTTAAGTGTGTAATATGACCAGCCTATCTTCATTAGGCTTGTGAAAATCTTTTTTATGACATCTGTTATTTTATTTCCCTCTTGTACTATCCCATTTGGTGTCATATCTCTTTTTGTTATTTTTCAAAAATTGCTCTTTATCGCTCTTTGCAACCAGCACAATTTTTTAAATTTAGTTCTTCTTATTTTTTTGACAATTCAACAGTCTTGCATCAAAATGGATACCCTGGTACGTTGCAGTACCTGTAATAGGGATATTTGGTGTTATTTAATTTTATTCCCAATTGTTTCGTTCAATTATCGATCTTGTTCCCTGAAGATTGTAGATTTTCTGCAGCTTCTGCAGAAAAAGTTGCGATTGTTCCATTTTCGAGTTTGAGGATATCGTTTTTGTACACTAAGTGTAGAACTGAACCTAGCCCACTATCTTGGTCTACTGCTGCCTTAATTACTTTTTACTCTGGGTAGAAATCATCTTTTTTTATTTTAAAGCATCTTTCAGTTAACCACTAAAAATAATTGTGAGTACTGCCTCAGTAGTGCTTTATTCGATTTATGAATAAGTCCTTCATGCCATGCGTTATCGAAAGCTTGGTTCTCTTTCAATAAGATCGCTGAGAAGACTTGTATTGCTTCTAATGTCTTTTAAATAATTTAGTTATGCTATGTACATGGTTTGTCGTTGAATCGCTCATTCTATAATCAAGCTTATGTGTTGGGTAATCTCTTTTCTTCAATAATGACCTTTAGTCTTTTTATTAAGATCTTTTTATATAATCTTTAAAGTACATTCAATAATGAAATATGTAGGATAATAATATAATCGGCATAAGATACTCGGCGGTTTCAATGGGTTTTTAATCATTCTGCCTCTTTCGATATTTCGGAATAACATCTCCTTCTCATTTCTTCAGCCCTTGTCAGGGCGTGGTGACACTCCAAATATTCTTAGCTTACTGTCCCGTTGGCTGTGATCCTGTGCCATATAGACGGCTTCATGTAGGGATTTTTCCACCAGAGATTTCATTTGGTCTGCCCATCGTGTTGGAGAACTTCTTCTTGGTCTTCGGACTTTTACTTTTCCTTCTACTACCAATAGTTTCGTTTTTCCCGTTTTTCTATCTATGTGGCCAAAGTAAATTAGGTACGCTCGTTTTACTTTTTTCTAATAGCCCATATTTTATATAAAGCTCTTCCAGAATTAACAGGTTGGTTCTATAATCTGTCCAGGACACTTGTAGAATTCTTCTACAGACCCACATTTCAAAGGCCCCGATCTTATTCCTATCGATTTTTTTTAGTGTACATAGCTGCGTATGAAACAATGGAAAAACAAGGGCACTGACTAACCTGAGCTTAGTATTCGTTGTTATTGTTCGGTCTTTCCGTTATTATTTGGAATAACATACTCTATTTAAAATATTGCATTAAATAAACTTAGTGACGGCTTCCTTTACTAATGATTTTAATATTTCGCCTGACCTTTTTGAAATCGATGTTCTCTTTTATTTTCTTAACAGTTTGTTTAGCATTAGTCATTTTCTTTGTTTGGTTGGAATGTGTTTTCGAGGTGCTGTGCAAAGCAACTGACTTTTACAGCATTGGTTCGGGCCCAGCTTCCATCAATGATTCTGATTGGTAATTTATATAGTATAGGTATTTTAAATTGTTTGGTGGCTTTCCAGAGAGTGTATTCCATACTTTTTTGAGCTGTTAACTCTTTAAGGTATGTCCAAATCTATTCATTATTGATGCAATGTGTTTGTCGCTTGAGATATGACGCATTATTTACAAATTTTATATAAAATTTTTAATACAGTTTTTAAAGGATAACTTAAAAATATTATATGTAATAAAAAAATTATAAAAAAAATCAAATACAAAAGAAATTTATGGACATGATGAAAATCTGCCCCATAATCCAAATGTTATTTGCCATTTTTAGTTTTACAAACAACTTTTAAAATCCTGGGCATATACTTTTTAAATATTACATTGAATATTTATTTTTTTTAGCTTCCCAACATAGTGGTACTGTAGATGACGGGGAAGAAGAGGAAGATATTAACGTAGTGCGATGTTATGCTTGCGACGAGATCTACAATGACGTTGAAAAGTAAGTATATTCTTTTTGTTTTTTATTGTTAATAAGTTACTTTTTTTTGTCTGTTTCTTATGTCTTTTAATATAATGGATCAGGAATCTAGGTGTGATTTTAACTATGTTGTATAATTTTTGTTTACCAAGACGTTACTAAGTTTACAGTCACAATTACTATATACTTTCCATTAATGGATTCGTTAAAACCATCTTTGAAACATTTTTCCTGTTTCTATATACGCTGTGGCTGCCTTCCTATTTTCAACCGATGTCTTCACTCATTTTTATTCTGACATTCTCCTTTTCTGAGATACAGTTTTCTCAAGAACTCGTCTGCTTCATTCTTTTAAAATCTTAGTGGTATGTCCCTTCTTCTTCTTGTCGTTACGCTTCATTCCAAAATTTTTGCTATCCATGTCATTTGATTTGATCGTACGTGTCCACAAAAAATCAAGCCTATTTCCTGTATATGGCGTATTATGTCATATTCTTCTTCTTGTTCTTACTTATTGCATGTAGGCTTTTAAGCCTGTTTCTTCTTAATATAAGCCTCCTACATTGTTTAAATTATTGCACAAAATTCATCTTAACTATTTAGTAAGTTTATATATACTCCATCTAATTTACTTACCATTGCACATCATTATCATTGACAGAGATCGAAGTTGACATAGTTGTCAAATTATAAAAAAATACTGAATCCATTTTAAATCAAATAGGTTACATAATTATTGCAAAAGTATTACCATCTCTTTACAATGACTATTTAAATTCTTACGTAACATTTTTGAAATATAACTCACTAATTTTGTCCTTAAAAGTAGAGATTTTATTAAATAGGTAAGAATATAAACCAAGAGGTATTCACTTTAAAATTCAAAATATTAAAGTACAAAAAGTGTCAACATCGCAACTGTCAAATAAGTGTTACCAATTTATGCCAAAATATCACCTTTGTTCGATTACAGTTACAGTGTGTTTCGAACAAATGTTCTTCATACAAACGTTTTATAATGCATTTATACAAATTAAATGAAATATATTATTGTTTATTTCTAAGAAACCTTTAAATATTATTTCTAAGCGTATATAATAAAATATGTCTAGTGGCTGTAATGCCAGTGTACTCGGCAAAGTGATTCTAAAAAAGAACACACCTACCGCCCAAATATTTCGTGTTGGTACCATGTGACCTTACGGACTATGACGCGGATGACGTGCAACGGCAAGTAAATTAGATTAAGTATAGATTACACTATAGTGAACTTAATTATACAGGGTGTTGAACGATTTTCATAGAAAATTGGTTATAACTTTTTAATACCCTGTATAACAATAATACATCTTTATACTGTTGTGATAGGGGGGTGAAGAATATTTTAAATACAAAATAAAATACAAGATGTTCTATTAAAAAAACATAAGTTTTATCTGCTACTATGTTATCGAACACTCAGTAACATTCTAACTAATTTTTGGCTAGTCTATTTGTCTAGTCATTTTGGCAGGGCAGTGTTTTTCATAAACAAGTATATCTTTATTATTTTTTTCATGTATACGCCAAATTTTATCAATATACATAGTATGTTACACAAAGTGTACAGTATAGCTGTAATTCAAATAAATAATTCATACTTTTCCCTTGTATGGCTTTTAATTAGTCATTACATTTTTTTATCCATCAGAATATCTAAGTTTTTTTACCGTTCGTGACTGTCAGTTGTGGTTTTATTATGTGGCGAAAGGATTCTTTCGTACGGTATTATTTACAGATGACCAAGCCGTAAACAGATAAATCATGGCAATCGTTACAAAAACAGAAGGCTGGAATTTAAAATATCTAAGTAATAAATATTTGTATATTCGTTTTTGGCGGATATTTAATACTACTCAAGAACATTAAGTCTTATTTTTTGCCCTTTATTCACATTTTTATTAATGCTCACCTTTTTTTTTCTTATTAGTAGCCTCACATTATATAAATTTATTTTATTCTTCGTGGTTTCCTACAGATAAACAAATTATTTCAGCTGTTTGGCTTTAGCATTATCTATTATTGCATACTTGTCTTTCATTAAGTCAGCATCTTCTCCTTGATAACAAACTTAGTCTCCGATTTTCTACAACTCTTCTACTAATACGATATATTCAGTCCCAAATATTTGTACTCTACTCATTAAAGTATCTCAACAATCAACGTCTAAAGAGGCAATGACGAAGAGCGGAAGAATCAAACAGGATAAACTAATCTCCGAATTTGTTGTAGTCAATTAGTCTAGAGGAAGGAATCCTTGATCACTGGTCCTACAGATTAGAGGTTGGGACGATAGATTTAAACTTTACCTCCTCTAATAATTCGATACAGATGGACTATTTACTGTGAAACTGGAAATGTAAAAGGAATTGAAGAAAAACTTAAGGAAAATAAAAATTAAGGAAAATATAAATATCATGGTTCTACCACAGAAGACTAAGAAAAAACAGAGGGAACTATCAAAAACAAATCGGAGAGTATATGTTCATTTGAAGTGGGGCATCGAAATAAGAAACGACACAAAAAGGAGTAGCAATATTAATAAAAAATAAAAGAATCACCGATCTTTATAATAATATATTTCATCAAGAACCATTACGAATTCTTTGAACAAATTAGAAAAGTAATTGAAGAAATAAAGAAAAATTAAACAAAAAATATTGCTGGGATAATTTAACTGCCAAACTGGTAGAAGAAATAATGAGAAAATAACTACTGGATAAAATAAAGAAGACAACGTGAACGGCAATGACGAACCTTGACAAATCTCCGTACAAAATACGAAATAAAAAATTGTTTAACTTAAACAATGGTTGTAAGATTTAAACTATAGTGCCCGAAAATTCGTTGAGAAGTACGACTTATGACATCTAAAAGTTCAGTACAAAGAAAACTAAATATTTGTGCATTGGAGAGCATGACAGATCTAAAGATATTATATTTCGAATGATGGATAAAGCCACAAGAGAAAGAAATACGGCAGGTAGAAAAGCCAATACGATATAAAACAGTGTTTTATGGTATTCATTCATTAGCAAAGCAAATAAAAAGAAGACATTTGATGTTTTATTAATTTTTCCGAAGAATATTTTATAACATTTTTTTTATTTTACAAACATGGTCGTATCAACCTCTGAGGTTACTACCGACATATATACATAAACATGAAATAATTTACGTATAAATATTAAATTTTGTTCCATATATTAATTTCTTTAAGGAGTTTTACCAAATGCTCAATGTTACAATTGTCTCCTAAGATTTCACTTGTTGATCCGATGATCTGGTTGCTCTGTCTCTGCAACTTGTATCTTAGAAACTCTAACTTGTAGACTCTGCAAGAACCTTCTTAAAAGCAAACAGCGGCTCCGGCCACGACTACTGGTCGCCTTTGGCCGTATTAAGTCCAACCTACAATGCGACCAGCCGTGCGACCAGAAACAAGTGTTGGTCGCACTTCCGGCCAGGCTTTCGACATTAATTTTTCTTTTCAATTACGAGATGGATGTTACGAAGTAACCAAGACTGGATGGAAGCTGGTCGTATCGACGAAATGTGGTCGGTGCAGCCAGTTGGCTGCAACGGCCACATGCGCGTTTGCTCATTACAACCTATGTAAAATTGGCCAGATCAGACCAACTGCAAATACGTTAGCGTCAGCGTTAGCTCTGACACTGAGTGGAACATTACAGTTGTCAGTAGTAAGTCGAATATGTCCTAGACGAAGTAGAGTAAAAACGACTTGATTGCACTTTGCGAATTTTTGAGGTTAAACTGTCCCATTTATTTTGCCATAAAAAAGTTTTACTTTAACAAATGATTTTAAATTAATTAGCACTATATTCCTCATTTTACTCGCTGTTTCACTGTTTCTTTCTTGTTGGGCTATGTCATCTGCTTTTTTATTTCCTTAAATGCCAATGTGTGAAGAAACCCATAGAAATTGTACAGTATGGGAACTGTTTTGTATGGTAGCGAGTTATGATGGCCACGTAAGCGTTGGCTCATTACAACCTATGTAAAATGCCGCAATCACGTTAGCGTTAGCGTTAGCTCTTACACTGAGTGGAACATTACAGTTGTCAGTAGTAAGTCGAGTATATCCTAGAAGAAGTAGAGTAATAACGACTTGTTGAGCTTTGTTGGAAATCTATTTCCATAGTTTCACTTTGCGCAGTTTTGAGGTTAAACTGTCTCACTGATTTTGCCAAAAACTTTTTATCTTTTACTTTAACAAATGATTTTAAATTATTTAGCACTATATTTCTCACTTGTTAAACTGGTATGGGAGGAGATTCCCACAGGCAAAAGACCACCCGGACGTCCCAGAATGCGATGGAGAGATAACATATAAGCAGATCTCCGGAAAATGAACATTCCATTTGACCCTACAAAGACCAAACAAAGTGGAAAAAAGTTGTACAGTCAGACACGACCCACCCAGGGTTGTAGCTTTACGTAATGATGATGATATTTCTCAATTCACTCGCTGTTTCACTGTTCCTTGCTTGTTGGGGTATGCGATCTGTTTTTTCATTTCCTTAACGGCCAATGTGTGAAAAACCCCATAGAAATTGTACAGTATGGTAACTGTTTTGTATGGTAGCGAGTTCTTTTTTAATTGATAAAGCAATTGGATGTGTTGTGTAAAGTTGGTTAATGGTATTCATGAAACTAAGGTAATCAGTAATTATAAGAGCATTAGATATATGACGGGAGTTATTATGAGTGAGAGCTTGATAGATGACATATATCTCCTGTATGTATACAGCTTAAGGATGGTAGTTAATACTCAAGTTTAATATTTGGAGTAACGACAGCTATTATAATTCCAGTAGTTAATTTAGCCGGCGTCTGTATGTATGTCACAGAAATAAGAAAATTTTGTTAGTTTGTTGATAAATTTAGTTTTTATTAAGGAGTAGAAAATATCGCTATTTTTAAACATATTTACGGATTTTATTTCAAATCCTTTATAAAAGGTATATAATAAAATGCCCAAACAGGCTATCACAAATACATTACAGAACGTTTTCGGAATGTTAATTCCATCATCAGTGTAAACAGGGTATACATGGTATAAGCCACCAAAATATATAGGCCAAAACCCATAACAACAGTTGTTATTAACAGGTCCTCGAAGACACGTATCAGGACCATATAACCTATGTAGGGTCATACGTCGCCATGTTACCAATTCAAACGGTAACTTAAACATCCTAATTTGTAATTATATATAATGTAAAACAACTATAAATTTGTAACATTTAACGGGTTTTGACCCATATATAGCATGTATACCTGTTTACACTGATGATGGAATTAACATTCCGAAAACATTCTGTAATGTAATTGTAATAGCCCGTTTGGACATTTTATTATATACCTTTTATAAAAGATTTGAAATAAAATTTTTTGTGATATATGGTATACAGCCAGCTACAGGAACTTAGTTTCCTAGTGGATATTTAAGGATGTGTCGAATTGAGGAATGCTTATTGTCCAAGGAGGAGTGATTGTTATTATCAAATGATTTTAAAACTCTTTCCATAAGAGCCACCATGTACTTACAGCGACTGTCTCACGACTCATCCTTAAGACAAATATATGCATTAATTGAATTTCGATTCTTCGTCCTCATAATGACATCTATACTTAGCTTTATTTTTATCTTTTCAGATTGGACGAACATGTTATAAAAAACCACAACCATAGACGTGATGAACATCAATGCGATTACTGTTCGAAGGCGTTTTCTTATCGACCGTTGTTGATCAAACACTTAGCTATCAAGCACGGTCAAATTAAAAGATATCATTGCGAAAATTGTACCAAGGTAAGTCATTATACAACCTTTGCTACGACGTGATCGAAACAAAGAAGGTATCTAAATTTTTAAATTGTGTCATTTTAAGTTACGATCAGTTATTTTATTTTTAATATTTTATTAGAAAATAACAATACGATTAGAAAAGTAAATATTGAAAGTTCGTTTATATTAAAAGAAGTATATTCACTTATACACTATGTGGAATATTTCCAGAAATGTAATAATCAGTTTGGTTAAAATTTTTATGCGCTAGCTCAAATTTCTCAAATTTTATTACATATTTGTAATCAGTATGAACCCTTTAGTCATACTGATTTGGTTATACTCACAATATAGTTGCGAGACTATGCATTATGTACTGCTCATCTATCGAAGCGTAAAACTATTTTAGATTTTAAACTGCTACGTTTAAAGTTTTGTTTGGCTGGTCAAATCAAAAAGCTAGTACGCTACTCAAATTCTGTGTGAGTTTACCTGCCGTTGAATTGTTGAGTCGAACGTGTAGGCTATTGATCACAGTTAAAACATAGAGCTAAAAGAAACTACAATGGTTAAGTAGCATATACCTATACGGCGGTATAGGTATAAACATTGCTTAACAGAAAAAAAAACTCTTATCTTTTCTCTTCAAAATGACATTTAGAAGAAGTACGATTTACAGTATTCTAGATACTCCTCTCCTAAGTAACACCTAAACATAAAACTTTTTTCTACGCATACAATTTCTCATTATAACTTTTTTTCTAGTACATTTAGGTATATGCACTACTACATAAAAAAGAAAGCGTATTTTCTCTACTATAAAATAACCTATTGTAAAATATTCTAGCACTAACTGTATAAGAGCATCAAAATATGTTTAAATTGTGATGCTTACAACGGAAAATAATCAAAAGACTGTCCCTAAAACAAACCCCCTGGTATAGGGGGGGAGGAGGGTGAAAAACATTAATTTACGAATCTCTAATATTTAAGAATGTCTATGTTGCAAAAAAAACTTTTCAAATGACAAATGACAAATGAAGCTGATATATTGTTGATCAAAAATGTTTGGTAACACTTTTTCTGTAGAATGAATTACACGGTCTGTCCTATCGACAAAGATTAAAATAGTTTTAAAGGTGAAAAGTGCAGCTTTGGTATGCAATTGCAATGCGAAGAACCGTATCTTACTGAAAATAAGTCCTAAAACCTTCTGCTGTAGATTATTTTAAAGCTATTAATTTAATGTACCATTGCAAATAAGCAAAACTTTTTAGCAAAAGATTATAGAACAATGTTTGCCAAAAAATGGGGAAAACAATGATTCAATTTTTATCCCTTTGTGTAGTTGGTTCTCTCCCATTAGAATATTGATAACACCTGTCAACTATTTAACTTATTTTGTTATTGATCAGCTGTGAATTTATTTTTATGAAGTGATTTGATGAAATTCTGTTAAATTAAGGTTTGCAAAGACTTACCCAGGGTACTTTTATAGTTCGATAACGTTACGAATAGCTGTTGTTAATCTGGTGACGGTTCAGCTGCCAGATGGATGCAATATAAAGTATTAAAAACGGCTGTTAGAAGAAAAACAATAAATAAATAATCTATTTTACTAATGCAAAACTATTTTGGCTCATTAGCTGCATGCGTGGCTATAAGAACGCACTGGAGACAAATAAATGTTTTCAGTAATGTCGGATGTTAAAGTTTCGTTGGTAGATTCTTCTTCTTAGAGTGCCGTCTTCCTATGAAGGGTGGCAATTATAATGGCTATTTTTATTTTAACTTCTATTTTGCTGCTATAAACAAATCAATCGATCTGCATTGATACCAATCACGTAGATTCTTTCACCATAAGTTCTGCCTTTGGCCAACAGATCATTCTTCCTTCTTCACGTGGCCTAGGTATTCCAGTTTTCTGGTTTGTATAGTGGTGATTAGTTCTGTTTTTTTACCAACCCTCTCCAGTACTTCTTTATTTGTAATTATATCAGTCAGTTGGTAGATGGATGTCACCAAATGCGCGACTCTGGTTCATGAAATTTTGTAAGACCAATACATCTTCACTACAGGTTTTAGCGTTAACGAATACTTCTGTGCCAGGATTGGCGGCTTTACATACCCTTTAAAACGCAGTGACATCATAGTTAAATTAGAAATTGTAAAATTTCGGGCTTCACAAATTCGCTCATCGCTTTTTCTTTAGTTCCTTCCACTGGGATTTGATTACAGTTTTTTTTGTGGCATAGACTTTTGTCATTCAGCCAGTCTCGAAAGGTTATAATATAGATTGATTACAGTTATCTCCACTCCTCCACTAAAAATACTTATTGATGGGGACAGCTTCTCTTTCTTAACCCCAATCACCATACTAGGAATTAAAATTTACTTCTTCGATGGAGTGGCTGTATTTCTCGTATGCAGGTTCAGGAAGAATAAATTCTGACTCAAATAATAATGTTTTATTATCGCAACTTGATGAAGGTGACAATAATCCAGCAAACTATGCGTTTAACATCTCACATTACTGATACCATTGGTAGGTGAATAACTCTGAATTAAAAGTGTACTTACAGTTTCTCAGAACAATACTCACAATACAATCACTGTAACTTTGGAATAATAACGGAAAAATGATAAGGCTGATCAATATATTTAAATTGGTCGCCCGGAGAAAATAAAACATGCGACTTGCATTGTCGGAGATTAGTTTCGGAATGGTAGCGTCCTCGCTAGGCAGGCCGTTCCCGCACAGGTCCGTCTCGGAGATATTAAAAAGGGATTATTGCACCGCAGTTTGGATATGTTCCGAACATACTCCCCCCCTGTTGAAATCTCCGATTTCAACACAAAAATAAAGAAGATTAGAATATATCTAATAAAAAAAAAATTATAATAAGAATATATCCACTACTTATAATAAGGACGAATAGTGGTACTCGTCAGAGCTATGGCTAAGCAGTAGGTAATGGACAAACCTTCACAATGGGTCTCATGAATATACCTTCTTTGGTACGAAGTTTAACTGCACGAACTCTTCGGTCAGAGCTTGGTATGATTTCTACAATTCGGCCCAAACACCACTTAAGTGGGGGAACGTTGTCTTCCTTTAGCAATACCAAATCATTTATTTGTATATTTTTAGAAGGGGTCAACCACTTGGGCCGGTTTTGCAGGCGATTCAAATATTCAGTGGTCCATCTTTTCCAGAAGGACTGTTGTAAACGGGAACATCTCTGCCAGAATGTAAGTCTATTTTCGGGCAGATGTGTAATGTCAGGTTCAGGATAAGAGGTTAAATTGCGGCCAATCAGAAAATGACCTGGAGTCAATACTTCCAAGTCAGAGGGGTCACTAGATACAGGACATAGTGGTCTTGAATTAAGGATGGCCTCAATTTGAGCCAAGATTGTACTCAATTCCTCAAATGTGAGGTGAGCGTTACCAACAATCCGATAGAGGTGCCTTTTTGCTCCCTTTACCGCTGCTTCCCACAGACCTCCCCAGTGAGGACTGCGAGGTGGGATAAATTTCCAGTCAACGCTGTTTTCGGAAGCAAACATCTTTAGTTGCTCAGACACATTTGACTTAGCGAAAAACTCGGATAACTCCCGGAGGTAATTTTTAGCGCCAGCATAATTAGTGGCGTTGTCGCTGTAAACTATTGTGGGAATGCCCCTTCGGGATATGAAACGCTTAAAAGTCAACAAAAATGCGTCAGTGGATAGAGAGGATACTAGCTCCAAGTGAACGGCCTTAGTGGCCATACAGACGAAAACGGCCAGGTAACACTTAATACTTGGAGCTTTTCGAAGACGTGAGGACTTTATAAGGAAAGGGCCACCGTAGTCAACCCCCACCCTCTCAAAGGGTCTAGAAGGGGTGACTCTGTCAGGAGGCAAGTCGGACATAATCTGTTGAGCACCTATGGCTCGAAAGCGAAAACAAGTCATGCACTTATGAATGACCCTTTTTATTTCCCTAATCCCGTTCAAGGGCCAATATTTCAAACGTACATTGGCAAGGACGGTTTGGGCGCCAGCATGACCCAATCGTACATGCTCTCGTTCGAGCAGAATGGAAACAACGTGACTTCTAGCAGGAAGTAGGACAGGATGTTTTTGGAGTTCCGGGATATCTGCGTGGCGCAACCGCCCTCCTACACAAATGAGTCCTTGCTCATTTAGAAAAGGATTAAGGGCCAGTATACCTTTTTCGGATATAGGTTTAAGAGATTTCAACTGCGAAATTTCTTTGGAAAAGTATTGACACTGTAAATTACGAAGGACCAGCACTAAGGCGGAATTTATTTCATATACAGACAAGGGACCAGACATTTTGGTATCCTTGTTTTTGGCATTAGACGCAAATCGAGAGAGATATGCGACGGTGTGCAACAACTTATTGAATGACGAAAATCTTTCAAACAGTTGGCTCCAAAATATATTTTTTGAGTCTGTACCCACAATTAGAACCTGCCTTTTGGGCGCCCTTTGTTCGGGCACAATAGTCGGTGGAGACTTGAGTAGAAATTTGGACAAATCCAAATTCACTTTGGATAGGAAATCTGGACCGTGCCACCACAAATTACAATTTAGTAGATCGGGAGCCAATACTCCTCTGGAAATCAAGTCTGCTGGATTTTCAGAAGAACGAACGTGTCTCCATTGGGCTTGTGGTAACGAGGTCTGAATTTGGGAAACACGGTTAGCCACAAATGTATGCCAACGGGATGGATGGGACTGAATCCAATACAAGGCTATTTGAGAATCAGTCCACAGATTTATGGATTCGAAATCGAGAGTTCCATCAAAAATTTTAAGTATTTTTTGGGTGAGTTTGGCAAGTAATACCATTGCACACAACTCAAGCCTTGGAAGTGAAATTGTTTTGAGGGGTGCAACCCGGGACTTGGAAGTAAGCAACACAGAAGAGACAGTATTATCGGAGTACATGGCTCTTACGTATAAGCAAGAACCGTAGGCACGTTCGCTGCTGTCAGCGAAACCGTGCATTTGAATATTTACAATGAACTTAGTTGAAAATAAGCACCTAGGAATTTTTAAAATTTTTAGAGATTCAATGGAATTAATGAATATTTTCCACTCTTGGGAATATTCGGTAGGAAGCGGCTCGTCCCACGATATTTTGGCTAACCAG